GTTCGAGGGGCCCCGTTGCTTGTGACGAGTTTGGAAGTAAATGGATGACGCGAAACTGCGTCCTCAACTCACTCAAACCGTTCCAGTGGCCCTGCTGCATGGGACAAGTGTGACGGCAAATAGTTTGAGATTTTGGTTCATGCCTTATGGTGCAAATTGCATCCTCAGGTAGTGCAAGTTGTTCCCAATCCCAGCACCTCCGGATAAAACATATCCGTTTGTGTCTCGGTCCGCGTTACATGCGGTACAGGTTGCCACACGCACGCCGTAGAGGGTGGCCAGCGAATGAGCCTGCCACGTGCACAGCGTGCAAGTTTAAGCTTGTCGGCACATGGGCGTGTAGAGCAGAAGAAGGCGACGCACACCTCCAAATGTGTCCCCCAAGTGGAGGGTTCGGTCATCCGTCCTTACCAAATATCCGCCAAAAAAAAACTTCCAGGTCGTGAGTTGGAGACCCGGTCTTGTGCACGACAAGTCACGACAGTAGACCTCGAAGTCACCCTCCTGAGCTTGAGACTTCAACTTTACGCGCTATGGACTCCTTGGGCAGATGTTGTTGTCGTTGCCACAGCACCGCATGATCTAGGTCACCAAGTCTCAACGAAGGGACCGTAGTGCTCGCGGTGCATCCGCATGTGCGAGACACATTTGTGGCGAGCGCTGGCCTGAAAACATTCTAGCGCCCTCACCGGACTGAGAAGATGAACCAAGCACAAGTCATTCCCAATAAAACATCCAGCGGCGTGACTCTCCCCCAGTTGAGCAGCGATCCTGCGACGCGCATGCATGCAAAGACAACCAACGAAATCACTCGCCAGTCGGCGCACTTCTGTGCCAATCCAATGCATTTCAAGTTTGAGGCGAGGGGCGCTCGGAAGAGGCAATTTCCGTCTGGAGCCACCTCTTCCACCTCATATCCAGCCGTGGCCAAGATGGCGATGTCCTCCTGGATGTGGGCTTCGAAGTGGTCCACAGGACCTCGGGTACGAATTCATGGGCTCAGAAAGCATTAGTACTCTGCACAGCAGGAAAAAGAACAGGAGCTCAAACGCAAACTATGAAGAATTACCTGAAACCAGCTCGAGTTTAACTGACCCGGACAAGCATGATGCGTACTCACCTGGCCCAGGCAAAGCCGACACATTCTAATGCTTTCTCACGAGCCTGGCCATATTGCGTGTGATCTTTGGCACAAGGGGTTCGTTCGGTGTGCATGGTGGGGCAGCTATATGGATGGTAGGGTAGGGGACCAGGGGAGCCATAGAGCCATTCCTTAGAGCATATGGAGCGAATTCGTCGAGCGTGCAGTGTAGTGAGTGGGATGAGTGGGTGAGTCGGTGTTCGAACGAGCGAGCGGGCGACTGAACGACAGGCTCAAATCAAGGCTGGCGGTGAGGACATCGTTAGACGCCTGCACTCATTCGCTCCGTGCTTCCCATCCGCTGCACTCACTCACACCGTGCTCTCCTCACTTGTTCGGGCTGCCTCGCTCCATATTCTGCGGGTCAAACTGATGCACTCTTCCCCGCCCGAACCTAAAGCGACAGTAGCGACGGTCCACAAATGAAGGCGGATCAGGCACCTGCGCTCATTACTGACCTTTGCTCAGTCCGCGCACGCCGACTCACTGAACCCTCTCAGCAACAGCATGATTGGTCTCGCCCGTTCGCTCTGCTGAAGTAGTACTGTACTCAAGTTCACCACACATCCCCGGTCATCACTCGCTCACTCCGCACACTCACCCCTGTCGCTGCCTCCCAATCATGTGCGTATTTACCGAACTTGAAGGCGAAAACTGCTTCGAAAGCTGACCGATGAGCTTGCAGCAGCTGGCTGCCTCCTCAGTCCATCAGCGCTGCTGCCTGAAACGTGCTAGATGGCAAATTGTGTGACCTGGGTTAGTTGAGCTTTGAGAATAATGATGCGTCCGCATATCTCAATTCTTTCCAGTGGCCCCGGCACACGGGGCGAGTTTGATGGCAAATCGTTTCCCGTCCTGTTCACTAGCGAGCCTGATGACATAAGCTGCTATGTCCTCAGATCACTCAACTCTTTCAAATTTCCCCGCTGCATGGGACGAGTTTGGCAGTGAACTGTCTCAGGTTTTGTTGCCGATTGAGCCGGATGGTCGAATCGCTTTGATGGCCCCGCTGGGCGGAACGAGGTTGATGGCAAATTGAGGTAAGCTAGGCTTTGTTGAACAGAGAATCTGATGATGCAAGCTGCGTCTTCAGATCTCTCAAATCGTTCCGGTGGCCCCGACGCATCCCGCTGCACGACAATATGCGACACGCCCCGTCTCCCAGCGTGGAATCCTCACGTGTCCCATGCAAAAAATGCCCACGACAAGCGTCCCATCTCCGGCCTGCGCGAAGCAACGCGCAGCCACTGCAAAACATTTGCTGTTGTGCTTGGTTCGTTGGCTGTTTGACTCTGCAGAACAAGAGCCCTGACAAACCGAAAGCATAGAACAACAAACGAAAATCAAAATAAACTCCAA